GCAACCAGAAATGGTGCTGGGGTGGGGAGCAAGGCCATACCTGGAAGACGTGCCCATGGCAGTGATGAGGGCTTGTAGCATGCCCCCAATGAAGGGGAAGGGGTTCCGGTGAGTGATGAGGAAGTAGATGAGGGGAAGGACGCCGCCAGCATGGAGGAGCAGGCCCACGATGACGGTCAGGGTGTACATGCCCAGCTGACCCCCCAGGACGGCCATGTCTTCCATCTCCAGAATCTTCCCAGCAATCAGGAACAGGATGCCCACAGGTGCATACCTGTGTGAGGGAGCCACATACCTGTCAGGGCTCCCTCCTAACCCCCCTTGCAGGTCTGAGGCTGGCATCCCCAAGGCTTTGCTCATATAGGGCCCTGGAGCCACGCAGTACCCACGATACAGCACCCTACTCCATCCCAGTCTTCCCCGTACACTAACGAATGCCACTGGGCCCCACGAATGAAGCCCACCTCCTCCTCCTGCTCTTCCTTATCTCCCCATCATGGTAGAAAAGGTCCTACAACTCCAGGATATACAACCTTTCAGGTGCCTACTCCCCATTCAAGCCCTCTCAACCATGCCCCAAATAATCACTACCTTCAGGATCCTTCCCTAGACGTTGCCAAGGCATTCCCTGTCTCTGGTCTTCTAAGCTTCCCTTATCTTCTGCCCCCAACTCTTTGTTCCACATTTGAAACTTATATGCCCGTTTTCTCTTCCCTATCAGTGCCTGTTCTCACTCATTCACCAGCCTAATAATTTCCCTCTCAAAACACCTGTCCTATCCAAATCACCAATGTATTCATTCATTCCACAGATATTAACTGAGTACATACTATGTTCCAGGCACATGGCTCCTATCCTCATAGCACTTACATTCTGTTATGGACTAAATGTTTATGTCCCCTTCCCTCTCCAACCAAATCCATATGTTTAGATCCTAACCCCCAGTGGGACAGTATTGGGAGGTGATTAGGTCATGAGGATGGAGCCATTATGAATGGAATTAGTGCCCATATAAAAGACACACCAGAGAGCTCCCTCCATCCTTCTGCCATTCAAGGACACAGCAAGAAGACGCCTTCCATGAACCAGAAGACAGCCCTCACCAGACACGGAATCTGTGGGTGCTTTGATCTTAGACTTCCCACCCTCCAGAACTGTGAGAAATACATTTTTGTTCTTTAAGCCACAATATCTATGTATTTTTGTTACAGCAGCTGACATGTACTAAGACACATTCTAATGGGGAAAGCAAGAGGTACACATAGAAACGCACCAATTACAAACTTCAAGTGGTGATAACAGCAAAGGAGAGTCACTGTATGGGACTGCTTCTGAGCAGATGATCAGAGAGGGCTTCTCTGAAGAGGTGACATTTAAGCTTTTACATGATAAGAAGGTACCCTGGGTGTCTGGGAGAAATCATTGCAGGCACAATGCAAAGACTCTGAGATGGGCATGCCCTAGGAGTGCTGGAGGACCAGAGAGAAGACCAGTGTGGCTGGAGTAGTGAGTAAAAAGGAGAATAAAGAAGATGAAAGAAGCAAGTTCATCAGGGGCTCACCTGTTTTCCCCACAATCCAGCCCACTGGTCAATCATGTGAGTTTCTGCCATCGGCACCATCATCTCATTTCTAGGCTTCAGTGGCTACTCCTCTCTCTTTAAAAATCGAAGTCTACAGCCGGGCGTGGTGGCTCACACCTATAATCCCAGCACTTTGGGAGGCTGAGGAGGGTGGATCACTTGAGGTCAAGAGTTCAAGACCAGCCTGGCCAACATGGTGAAACCCTGTCTCTACTGAAAATACAAAACTTAGGTATGGTAGTGTGTGCCTGCAGTCCAGCTACTCAGGAGGCTGAGGCAGAAGAATCACTTGAACCCAGGAGGTGGAGGTTGCAGTGAGCCAAGATCACACCACTGCACTCCAGCTTGGGCAACAGAGTGAGACCCCATCTCAAAAAAAAAAAAAAAAAAGGAAATCTACTTTGACTCATGTTCATCATGGATGTTTTGGAGGAGGCGGGGACCTCTTGGGAAGGCGGTACAATAGCTTGAGTCAAAAATGAGGATGTGAGGGACTTCTCCAGTCACATCTGTGTTCTCCAAACTGCTCAGAGTTGGCCCGGGGAAGTAGTTGCTGAGTCTTCTCCAAGTCAACATGACTAGATCCACCCCTGTGCTTACTCTGAGTATTCCCTCTCTCAACTTCCTCACCTCCATCCTTCCACCTCATCCCCTGCAAAATTCCTCAGCCCAAGATTAATTGTGCATGATTTCTTACCCCGTACACTCAGCCACCTGGCAAATCTGGACATTTCACCCAGTCATGCCAATGACAGTGCTATACATTCATTGTTCCCAATTTAGCTGAGCCTTCATTGTTCCTTGTTAATTATCTGCTTATCCTGAATAAGCTCCCCACTCCCATTCCTTTCAAATGCTTTCCCAGGCCCTCAACTTGGCCTCAAGTTCCTTATATGTAGTCTTCAAAGTTTCCCTTCTTGTTAAAGAATAAATCTTAAGTGTTAAAAATCGTTTCTTTTAAAGACTAACTTCCTTCAAGCCTCCTTACTTTATGCCAGTAACTTTTTGTTAAGCCCTATCCTATGTAGCTATTGACATGTTCACAGGCACATAGTACATTCTACGTCCTTGTAGTTTAACAAAGATATCGGTGCTGGATGTGCTCACAGGCACGTCCCAGCTCGCAGCCTATACCCCTTCCTTATTTGGGAATGTTATTACTTTTTCTAAGTCCTTTTGTAAGCAACTTCCTCTTTTCCTCTGTTTTCCATTGCTTTTACCTACTTAGAAAAGTTTTAAGTTATTAGCCAGTTGGGTTTTAGTTTAGATTGTAAGGTCTGGCTCCAGCCAATGGAGACAGGACACAGTAGCAGGGACAAACTGTGTAAGGGATAAAAATTGCTTCCCTCCTTTGTTCAGGTGTGCTCTTGCCGTTGTTCCATCTGCAATGAGCACCCTTTCTGCAGAAGGTAAAAATTGCCTTGCTGAGATAATTAAATTTATGTTCAAGTGCTATTTCTTTGCGGCACTGGGGAACAAGCATTCTGTTTCTAAATAAACATTTTACATACGACACTATACAACTTTCCAATTGTTTGGGATGACGTACAAAGTCTTCTCCCATTTGGGATCTGACAGCTTTGTTAATATCGTCCACCACCACTCCCAACTTACCCCATGCTCTCACCTTCCTGAATGCCCCACCACTCTCCAAACCTTCAAGCTTTGCATGTTCTCTTCTCTCTGCCTGAAATACGTCTCCCCTCTCACTGTCCAGTTGAAGTCCTACTCACCTGTCAAGATGCAGTTAACAGGTGACCTTCTTCATGACTCCCTCTTCAGAAAGCATTCACTGTGTACCCCTCTACTCACTGCTCACTTCTCCATGTTCCCAACACTTTTTAAATGTTCCTTTACTACAGAACCTACCACCTTGTGTTATATTGATCTACAATGTGTCTGTCTCCCCTAAGATTTTGTGAGCTCCTTGAGGACAAGTATGAGTGCACTGTGTCTCTGTATTCCAGAGGTCAAGACAAAGTCTGCCTGGGAAAATGCCTGCTGAGTGAATAAAGAAATTTCTGAAGGAATGAAGGAATTTAGAGAAGGAAAGACGAGGGAAGGGAAGGGAAGGGAAGGGGAGGGAAGGGAAGGGAAGGAAAGGGAAGGGAAGGGAAGGGAAGGGAA